ATGAAGGCGGAAATGAACAGTTTCAGTGATAGAGAAAATGGGTGGTTAGGAGCCAATCTCTGGATCAAATGTAGTCCAGTTTTACTTCTCTAATGATGTGGCTGCAGCATCTCTCATTCTTGGAAATAGTTTTGTAATTCCTCTCTACAACATCTCTGGTGAATTCACATTCTTCCCGAAGTGTGGCACGTAGAATTGCCTAGTATTTTATAAGGGTTCAGTATAACCTCATTTCTTTTGTACTGTATATATAAAGCATAAGGATTCTGCATACCTTATTAAATGCCTTCTCAATCTAGCGTATCCTGCCAGTTTCAATATTTGCGTATCCCTACCACAAGGTCCCTCTGCTCCTACACTCCTGTAGAGTATTATCCTTTAGTTTATACTGTCTTTCCTCAGCCTTCCTGCCGAAATGTATCACTTTACACTTCTCAGCCTCTACATTAAATTTCATCTGCCACATGCACTATGTCTCTCAATCCCATAAGCCAATAGACACAGACACATACACATATACACAATCACATGCAAGCCAATGCATTATTTACTCTTCTTTAAAATTAATCACTTTGAATCTTGTAACTTTGCTTTTATTTCTTCCATATTAATAAATGTAAACTGGTTGGGTGAAGTTCCATGTGCTTGGTTTTTTCACATGGTGGTGAAGTGGACAACAAAGAAGTTGGTGTCCTGACAGAAGAAATGCATCATTGAGTATGAGAGCAGGAAGGCAGGATGGGAAAATTATGTCAGGTTGCACACTTTTGCCAGACTCTTTAAAAAAAACTATGTTGGAGCTGTGTTGGTTATCTGTGGGCCGGTGTTTCACAAATATGTTCCTTCACTCCAGTATTGAAGGAGATTAGAAAATTGCAGAGATAACACTCCAGACAATTGTCTCCTTCAAGCATAATCTTGAAAGGAGACCTAGGAACAACACATCCAGGGATGGCTTTGAGCAGGCTTATGATGTAGTTGTAAACTAATTAAACGGACCAAAATTAGGTGTTATCTTACATGGCACAATCACTACAACAGAAAGGAAAAACACTGGAAGAAAGGATTGTTGCTGCAGTTTGGGTGGAACAATTTAGCAGCTGCTCAGACATCGGACCAGATTTTTTGATCGATTGACCACCTAAGACCTGATTCGAGGAACTTTTAGTAATCAGTGTCATTTTGAACATGTGCAGTTGCTTGATTCTATAATAAAGGTCTGCCACTTTAAGTGGAGCCGTATCCATGTTGTTGCGTGTCGTTGATAACTGAGCCAGAAACTTCAGGCCCCATGGGATCAGGGGGTGTCAGGGGAAGGAGTATATATAACCCCACACCATTCCCAGGCATCTTTATCACAGTTCATAATACTTCCAAGTTCTGTCATCTGCATATACAATTCTAGCTTATTAGTATTGATCAAGAAAAGCAATAGACCTTATACCGACCCCAAACCAATTTAGATACTTTCGTCCAGTGCAAAAATCTACAATCTACCACCCAGTTGTCATTGTAGCCATACTTCTTTTCTCCTTTTAATGGCACAGTTTAAACTTTGCTGACGAGCCTATAATGTGGCACTTTATCAACCTCCTTTTGGAAGAGATGAATGTCAACAGCACCAGCCTCAACAACCATTTTTGTAACTGCATTGAAAAATGTAATCAAATTAGTTAAACACAATTTTTCCTTCAATATCTGTGCTAATGTTTGTCAATTCTTCCAGATTTGTCCAAGTGGCTGCTAACTGTGTCCCATTTGTTGCTTCTCAAAGATTTCCCACCACTGAAGTTAAACTGACTGCTAGTATTCGCAGGCTTTATCTTCATACGTTTTTTTGAGTGTTACATTTACAACTCTCCAGCCCTCTGACACCACTCTCTGTAAGCATGGAGGACAGGAATTTCAATGCTTACTTCCTCAAGATTCTTGAATGCATCTAATTCAATGATATTCCTACTTTTAATCCAGCCACTCATTCCTTACCAATTCTTTAACAATTTTTAGCCCATCCAGTGTCTCAACAATCTACTCTTTCATCTTTTTCGTAAGGACAGATGCAAAGAGCTCAGTTAATATCCTATTTATCACCCCTACTTCCACACATAACCCCCACCCCCATTTTTGGTCATTCATTGTCTTGTTCCTCCTTTTAGTTTTTATATCCCTGTGGAACACCTTTGGTTCTTTATTATGTTGGCTGTCAGTAACATCTAATGCTTTCTCTTTGCCTCTGTTATTCCCTTTTTCCATTATCTTGTTTTTTTTCCCTAAGGTATAAAATCCTTAAGGATCTAACTCCTCTATTCAAGAAGAGGGGGAAGCAGAAAACTATAGGCTTGATAGCTCGACATGAGGTGGGAAGATGATAGAGTCAATCATGATGGAGACTATAGCTGAGCACTTAGAAAATCCCAAAGGTAATCAGAAATCGGCACTGTTTATCAAATTTATCAAAGTTCCTTTGAAGGAATAACATGCACTGAGTATAGAGGGGAACCTGGTCAATGCATTGAACTTGGATTTCCAGAAGGCACTTGACAAGGGGCTACATAGAAAAAAAAAGAGAAAAAGCAGGAAACTATAGACTAGTTGGCCTGATACCTATAATAAGGAAAATATAAAAGTCCATTATAAAAGATTTAATAGCAGAGCACTTGAAAAACAATGATAGGATTGGACAGAGTTAGTGTGGATTTACAAAACGAAAATAACGCTTGACAGATCTATTGGAATTTTGAGGATGTAACTAGTAGAGTTGATCAGGAGGAACCGATGGATGTCATTGGCTTGGACTTTCAGAAGGTATTCGATAAGGCTACACATAAGAAATTAGCATGTAAAATTACCGTGCATGGGATTGGGGATAGCGTACTGACATGGATAGAGAACTGGCAAGCAGAGAGGAGGCAAAGACTAGGAATAATCAGGTCTTTGAGTGGCAGCCAGAGACCAGTGATCAGTGCTTGGATCCCAGCTATTCACAATATACATTAAGGGTTTAGATAAGGGAGCTAAATGTAATATCTCCAAGTCTGCTGACAACACAAAGCTGGGTTGGAGGGTAAGCTGTGAGGAGGATACAGAGATGCTTCAGTATGATTCGGGCAAGTTGATTAAGAGGTTAAATGCATGGCAGATGAAGTATAATGTGCATAAATGTGAAGTTATCCATTCTAGTAACAAAAGCAGGAGGGAGGATCATTATTATTTGAATGGCAATAGATTAGGAAAGGCGAAGATGCAATGAGACTGCTATGTCCTTGCACACTAATTGCTAAAAGCAAGCATGCAGGTGCAATAGGCAGTTGGCAAATGGTATGTTGGCCTTCATAGCGAGAGGATTTGAATACAGGAACAGGGAAGACTTGCCGCAAATATACAGGATTTTGGTGAGACCACGTCTGGAATACCGTGTGCAGTTTCGGTGTCCTTTTCTAAGAGAGCATGCTCGAAGGTTTACCACATTGTTTAATGGGATGCAAGATTAATATATGAAGACAGACTGGATTGTTTCAGCTATTTTCATTGGCATTTAGTAGAAAGAGGCAGGGATGTCATAAAAATCTATAAAAAATCTAACAGGACCAGACAGGCTAGAAATGCAGAAAGGATGATCCTGATAACCAGGGAGTTGAGGTAGTCTATTTAGAACTGAGATGAGGAAAAATTTCTTCACCCAAATAGAGGTGAATCTGTGGAATTCTTTGCCACAGAATGCAATCAAGACTAAAACATTGAATGTTTTCAAGAAGGAGATATAGTTCTTAGGGCCTAAGAGACCAAAGGATATAGGGTGAAAGTGGGAGCAACATGCTGAGTTGATTGATCAGTCATGATCATATTGAATGGCAAAGCAGGCTCAAAGGGCCAAATAGCCAACTCCTGTTCCATATTCAATGTTTCAATATTTTTGTAAGAGGTTATTGTGCAAAATAGAAGCTCATGGTCAACGGGGTAACATATCAGCATGGATCAAGCTTGGCTGGTTGACAGAAAACAGAGTTTGCATAAATGGAGTCTTTCTTTTGATCAGCAGTGGAGTCTCTGTGGAATAAAGGAATGGTAACTAAATTTGCAGGTGAACAAAGATAGGTCAGACAGTATGATGTGAAAACTACAGGAAGTTGCAGAAAAATATAGAGGTTGAATGAATGTGCAAAAATCTGACAGATGGAGTATAATGTGAAAAATGTGAAGTTCTGTGCTTTGGCAGGAAGAATAAAAAGAAGAGTATTAATTTAACAGAGAATGACGGCAGAATTCTAAGGCCCAGAGGGATCCAGATGTTTATTGCACTAAAAGTTAATGCACAGCTATAGAAAAGTGATCAAGAAAGCTAATGTGATGCTATCCTTTATTATGAAGGGAATGGATCATAAAATTAAGAGTGCAATGCTTCAGTTAGTCAGATAATTGGTGTAACTGCTTCTTGAATATAGTGTGCAGTTTTAGTTTCCTTATTTAAGTAAGGATGTAAATGTATTGGAGGCAGTTTACGAGACTGTTATCTGGATGAGCAGATTGTGTTATGAGAAAAGACTGGACAGACTGAACTTGCTTCCACTGGAGATTAGAAGAATGAAAGAGTGACTTGACTGAAGTACATAGTCTCCTGAACAGTCTTATCAAGGTGGATGTGGTTATGATGTTTTCTTTTGTAGAAGAGTCCAGAACTATAGGACGCTATTTAAACATTAGGTGTCGCCCTTTTATGACAGAGAGGAAGAGAAATGTTTTCTCTTAGACCCTGACTCTGGAACTCTCTTCCTCACATTGGATATCATAACGGGGAAGGTGGGCAAGGGGGTAGATGGGAATGAGGAATTCAAAACATAAGCAGATCATCCATGAACTTATTGAATAGTGTGGCAGGCTTGATGGGCCAAATGGTCTACTTCTGCTTCTATTCCGCATGCTCCGATGTAACTAGAAAGTCATGACTAGTTTCAACCTTCTACAGTATTAACAATAATATCTTATGTACAATAGATCTTTACCTTCAGCTCATCTGCTTCTATGAAGCCACTATGATCTTCATCATATCTTCGCCACGTCTGAAAAAGAAAGTGCTTTAGATACACAGTTCGTTTCACTCACAGTGATTTACTCACATAATCTGTCAAAACTGCAGCCATGTTTTCTAATGAAATTATTACACAACATGACAAACTATATTTCGAACTCCATTTCAGGAAGGACATGATTTATTGGTGAGTGAGTATAGCATTTCTCAGCTTTTGTGTGTGAATTTTAATGTAACTGAGGATATTTTCAATTATTTTAAAAATGTGGGTTCAGTACAAGGAGTGTCAGGATATTATACAATATCAAATAAGGAAATGTCAGAGAATACAAATACTACGGGTTGAATCCTACACTATCTTGGCCAAGTTGGAGTCACATCAAGTTTGGTAAAGCGATTCTCACCACAAGGCTGAGCAAGTTTCCTCACTGTATCTTATGAAACTGACCCGATTAATTGCCATTTGAGCACCTGCGAGAAAAAAGATCAAGTCCTATTTGAGCCCCATCTTATCACTCACCATTCATGGAGGAGATCATTGCTCAGTGGGAGTCCTCCATAAAACCAGCATCCCTCACTGAAGTGCCATCTTTCAAAGCCTGATGCGCATTGCAGGAGTGCTGTTATCTGCAAACTGTGCTGCTCAGCTGTGTTAGGCTCACATGAGATGGCAGGAAAGGAGAAGCTGGCATCATGCTTCTTGGAAAAAGGTCAGTGATCTTCTATGCTTTCTGCTACTTCTCTCTTATCTATGCCACTGAACCCACCTGCCACCAACACTTCTGCCTTGACAACCCCTCTGTTATAAGAAACAACCTTCCTCACTCACTCTTGTTACCTGTCCTCTAACACCACTAACCCTCCATGACCTCTATGCTACCTCCTCCTTCCCTTGGAACATATCAACAACCTTTCCCCATATACACTGCACTAACTGCCACGCCACTTACTCATTTGCCTCCTTTAAGTCGTTACAGGGGAAAACATCACACAGAAGGGTGAAGTGACATCAGACGGGTGATGGTGTGCTGGACATCCAATTCCTTAACCTCTCTGAGGAATAGAATCTTGACCTGGCAGGAGAGGTCAAGGACTGCTCCTGCACTGATGCTGAGCCATCCATGTCCTGACATCTGAGTAAATAACACTAGTCATCCCAGTGCGACAGTCACATCAACCACGCATCGGACAGCACTAATAACTAGTGTCAGCAATATCTCCTGCGAAGGGGGCTAGTGGCGAATGCTTCTGATTATGTCTTGCGTAAGTTAATACACAGACTTAAAGCTCAAGGCATTGGAGGGAATATAATGGCATGGATTGGGAGCTAATTAGTGGACAGAAAATAGAGAGTAGGAATAAATGGGTCTTTTCCAGGTTGACAGGCTGTTGCTAATGGAGTCCTGCAAAGATCAGTGCTTGGGCCCAATACTCTCTCTGGTTCTTTTTTTGGTGCATAGCAACAACTACAGAAACTGAAAGTTAATGCATCGGCATGCAAGTTAGAGTAGGAAGAAGCTTGGAGTAGTGGCACAGCCACACAGCTTAGACGGAATGTTGCTTGGGCCCTGGTTATTCACAATTTCTATCAATTATCTGAGTGCAGGGATTAAATTAAATATTTACAAGCCTGCAGATGAGGATGATGCAAGGAGGTTGCAAAGGACTTGGAGAGGTTAGGTGAGGGGACAAAAAAAAATTGCAAAATGGAATACAGTGTGGAGTAAAGTGGAGTCATTCATGGCAGAAAAGAAAGAGTGTTTCTTAAATAGTGTATAGCCAAGAGGTGTTGAACTTTGAAGTGTGACTTTGTCCACAAGTCACTGAATGTTAACTCACAACTACAGCAAGCAATTAAGAAGGCAAACTGTACGTTGGCCTTTAATGGTTAGGATTAGGAGTAAAACAGTCTTACTGCAATTAGAACTTTCATGAGACTTTGGTGTATTGTGTGCTGTTTTGGTCTCCTTACCTAAGGAAACAAACACTTGCCATGGAAGACGTATAATGAAAGTTGACCAAGCTAATTCCTGGGGATGATTCCTTTTGGTGAATCCTCCTAATATGTTTTCAGATGTTTTCCCATTATCTGTATGCTTAAAATTAGATTTCAAATTCAACCACCTGCTCTTACAGCCAAGTGGGTATGAACAGACTACTTCAAAGCAGCTGCCAATGTTTTCTGGAACTAGCTTCTAGAACATGCTCAAGACATATCAGATATTCATGTCGATGACTTTAGCTCCCCCATTGCCAATGAGACTGTGCACCTCCATACTAATCTGAAAATTTAGTTTTCCAGCATTAAGCTAATATATACCTTACAAACCTACTCCTAGAAGAACTTCAGTTTGTAAATAGTGCCCTGACACCCAATGTTGAAGGAAACTCTTCCAGTTTCACTACTTCAGACTGGAATGCTGCCTGTAACATTGGGGGTCAGGTTAATACAAAACTTGTAAGATACCATATTGTATCACATGTTTTTAGTAACAACATGCATTGGTAGCTTTCTGTGCAATCTTCGATGTTCTTCACACTATACATTGTTGATGCTATCTTGAAATTATTTTGTATTTCTACCTAGTTAAATCACCCAACATTTCTATTACAGTAATGTGCTCTTCCTGCATTTTCTGGAAGATTCTTCATTGAACGTAAGGCTAGTGTGACTACTACTACATACAAAAAAAAATTATTTTTTCATCATCTGGCTTTTGACATTCTACCAATAAGATATCCAAACTCTATAAACAATGGCATATCTATAGTAATAATTTCCCGACTCCTATTTACTAAATCCACACATTTGGAAAAAAACAGGAATTGTACATTAGATGCATATACAAGAACAAAATTGTCCAAGCCAACAATTTTTCAATACCCTCTATAAAAAGGGCTTGATTTTCATATAGGTTCATTTTATAAATCAAAATTTCAAAATGCACACTATGTTCTTGCACCAGGTAACCCTTTCAGATACAGTATAATTCTAATTTATTGCAATGCATTCCAAGATGCGAAAAAGTTTTTTCTTCATTCTAAAACATTCTAAAAGGAGTGGAATGGGCACTTCACAGTATATATTAAAATATTTTAGCAATATGTAATATATAATAATATAGTATTGAAATGTATAGATTTTTAGAAAACATATGCAGTTTGAATCTTTCACTCAACTGTGACATATATGAGATAGAAAAGTCACTGCTTTGAAGGAAAATTCTTTAAATTACTGGAAAATGGCAATTATACCTCTATGAACTCTGTGCTTGACTTTAATTGTTGCCGAAAGAACAAAAAGAAGTTTTCTTCTGTAGGTAGGATCTGAGCAAGCTAGAAAAATAAAACATTAGATTAATACTTGGTTTTCCATTAATTAAAATAAAATTGCTAAAAATGGTAACTGTATTGCTTAAACCAAAGGATGTAGCATTCTATAACATAGTTTCTCCCATATATCTTCTTGCCGTTGCTGAATAATATCTAATCATCTCATACAGCATTCAGTGACCTTAAATTGGCACTTAGAAAAATGATATTATGTTCATATTTTGCTAAAATCATGTACAAATATCTCTATGTGTAAATTATTATTTAATGTGCCGTAGATTATTTAATTAAAATGATACTCAGTTATAAATAAGACACTTCTAGCTTCCGTACCCCCTAAATAACCAATGTAACACATTTAAAATGTTTTCTACATATCATCGTTATGATTTATGCCCAACAATGCAGCTAGTCAGTTAGAAGCTATGTGTGCTGTATAGCTCTGTGTTGTCCTGACAACATATCTCATCCACTAAACTCAAGCATATGCATTGATGCATCAACCTAACAACATTATTTTCCTGTGGTCATTTTTGGGTTCTCACTGCAAATTGTTAAATTTGTGCTGGTTACTGCAGCATCAGGATAGTTTATGAAGTAGGTGAATGCGTACCGGTATTTAATTCTAACTGTCTAAACTCAATTTCATTGAGAACAATAGCCCAAGAAACAGGAGACTTCCATTTATTCTTCAGATGTGAATATTGAGCTTGGTCACAGTAGATTTTTTTAAAGCTTATTACACACAAGTTCAAGAAATTGATCAAATGGTGTGAATAATATAAATGTATGTACTTTTGATAATCACTCAGAATTTTATTGAAAACTGTTATGGAATTAAATATTTCTGTTACAACAATTCTTATTATTTTAGGCAAATCTAGTTGGATTTTTGATTTAAATTAGAATTCTTTAATTGAGAATTGGGATTGAAACTATAATTACAATTATAATATTAGGTAGTTTAATTGCAAGAAGCAATTCAAATACCAATCTAAGACAGGAAAAGGCTTTGTGTGCAAATAATCATTTCTTCCCATGTTATTTCTGCCACTTTCAATTCATTTTTTCTTCTTTTTATGTCTCCCATGTCAATATACCATTCCCCACCTGCAAGCAAAAGGCAAAATGATCTGCGTTTAGACATCTACCAACAATAATGTTTCCAACCGCCAGACATTATTTTCTGAGGTGAGTCAGACTTAAATTATTTCTCATTTTTCATTGGAAAAGCATCATTTCTGCTTAATTGTTTCTGCTGATGAGAGAGCTATGGTCTCAAAATTGACATAAATAAATCTGTAGGCAAAAGCTAATTTCCTTACTAAGCTAGGTAAAGGGTCTAATTCCACGTATATTTCCATTTATAATATGCTTATTTATGTATGGCCGTTACTATACGTACGCGAAGTATCAGCTTAAATAGGAATGAGAATGTCAAATTTAAAAGTTTATTTGATACTGGAACTGGGATGCAAGGACATATGATGCAAACTTGCACAATGCCCATTTTAAACACAAGCAGTTCTATACAAATTGATACCGAATTCCATCGATAATTTAGTTTAAGGATTCCTAACTTTCCGAAAATAAATATCTCGTCACAATCTTTTCCACAGGAATACCAATATTGAACCCTTGTCATTAACTTCGGGGAGCGGACTAGAAGCTTACTGAAGCAACAAGAATCCAGTTTGCGCCACGTGAATTAATGAGGAAAGTTTCTGCACCAATGTGATCGAGCTAAAACAAATTGGAAATTCTTACATCTGCCAGCTCTATCTTTCCATCAGCACTCTGGTCGTACTTCTCCACCAAAGCTTTCATCCCGTCAGATAATTCCTACGGATTGATCATGTTAGGCATGTTAGCAATTTACACTGATGTGGGAAATACAATCTGATCTGCGGAGATAAAATGCAAGTAGCACAAAATAGACATTTTTGACCCTATTCAGTTAGATTCCAAAACCGATGTAGAATCTGAAGAAGATTTTACCAATAAACAATGAAACGCTTTATTAATAATCGCCAAAAGAATATGCAGCGCCGCCGATAGTACTACAGACAATACAAATCACTAACTATTAAACTTTGTTATTCGTGCTTATTAATGGTGTTGCATTTAAAGTAGCGCCGTTCTGAAGTGCTTCCCAATGGTTTGGATTTGGGGAAGGTGACAACATGCACGTTTTACAACAGTTTTATTTTCAAAAAGGGAGTTGCCGTGACATTATTGACATTGCTGTATCACACAAGTTCCATGGGGATAGTGTTCCGTTTGATCAAATCTAAAGCTCTGATCTGTCATTAACTTGTCCATTTCGTGGCTGCTGTTGTGGTGTTGCGTCCAGGTGCGCGTTCAGACCTACTCCAGCAGAAGAATTTTCTACAGTGACAATCCGTTTGGAAGAATATCCAAATCAACAGAAAAAAAAGGTAACAAAAAAATTGCTATTCATTCACAGTGCGTGTGTCAAGTGGACGGATGCTGTTCAAAATCAGTGAAAAATTAATCAAATACTGAACAATAGTACATAATTACAGAAATTGAGACTTGCTACCCGGCGCTATCGGTGTTAATGACCGACTTCCTCTTAACCGCTTTTACAACGAGTCTGTCGTCAAGGAGACAGGAGCACACCAACATGTCTAATTTTATGTCGCTGTAATGGTTATTGTTGGTGTCACATCTGGGTTATAATGGTAATTCGAATGTATATTTGCTTAATTTGCTATTACCAAACGTAATAATACCATAAGTGCGTTAATATTTCAGTTTATTTTGTTACTTTCAACATTTGCAATTCTTTGATTACCGATTGTATTGACTCGACAAACACACTCTGACGAATGAAATCTGCGGAATTATCTTTGCTCTATAACTGTTGACAATGGTGTTAATCCAAACACCACAGTCACATTGTCGGCTTTATGAATTTCAGCAGCGCTGACACTATCTCGTCATCACCTGAGGTGGAGCCAGAGAGAAAGGATTAGTCACTGACTTTTGTCACTAAGTAGATTTCTCTGCTTTTCATGCACAGTTAACAATAGTTTTGTACATATTCCAGAAGGCAGATGTGTTCCCTGTGAAATGCTTAGGCGGATGACTTCTGGGCTTCACGATAGTCAAAATATTAGGGAAAGTTAGCAGGAAAAAATATCCCCACTTGAAAGTAAATGTCGAAGAAATTTCATCGTTGCATTATAGAGAATTTTCTGCTGTTTTCGTGGTGTCCCGCTATTTAGAAAGTACTGCCTGCCCTTGCTTTGGCACAAAGCAAAATCCGAACGCATTACATTTACCAGCAAACCGGCAGTCATAACTGTGCAAAGCTAAAAAGTTGGGTTGTTTTACTCCGTTGAGATCAGCCTTTTGCATTGTGTATCTGCACATTTACATCTCGATAATCTGATGTGTTTATTTTACATAACGCATTGCCCTAAAGTTCAATACTTACTAAGCCAGTGTCTTTCCGAGCTTGCTGAAGTTCTCGAATGAAATTTTGCAGCTCTCTTCCTTCAATATAACCACGACCTAAAATAAAGTGTTCTTTTATACTTAGCATAAAATTAAGGCAGTTTTCAGTTTACGAAATTACGTTAAAGGAATCACTCATACCGCTTAATACAATTAGGTTTCATTTTTAATACAGAGTTCGCAATTTGCCAACGCTTTGATAACACGCAAATAAATCAGCATTTATTGTTCGATGTACATAGTTTGTTTAAGACAAATACATACAGTGATTCTCATTAATAAATCTAAAGGTATTCACTTTGCACAGCTACTGTGTGGAGGAATGAATTTATTGCAAAATAAAAGTAGTTACCAGCATTGTCATAATGGTGCCAAATTTCCAAGAACTGTGTGGTAGACTCTTCAATTGCTTGCAGGTAAAGACTGTGTGTGTCTGCCATGGTTGCTCGGTGCCTGCTAGCCACTTGCCTGCTCTGGTGGAGGTTTCAATCTGAGCGGTCCCTGCTAGCGCGCGCCCCCTAAATGCGGCTCGTGCTCCGGAGCCCAGCCCTCCGCGCTCACTGCGCACGCGTGGCTGCACCCAAGCCAGGGGACCGACGGCAGATGCAGGTGAGAGGGCAAAGGCGCTGGGTCCAAGGCAAAGGGGACCAGCTCCCGGCTGCAGGCAGAACCTCACATGGAGGTGAAGGAGGAGCACGCACTTGGTTAACGATTCACCTCAGTAAAATCCACGGGAGGGGATTGCCAGTTAGCCAAGCTCAACTGACTTCATTTGTACGAAAGGCGATGTTGTCCATGTCATTTACGTTTTGCACGATCCACAAGAGAAAAGTAGCGATGTGCCATATAGAACTGACCTTTGAATCCATGTATGGTAAATGGAGAAGAATGTGTTGTATTAGTTGTTGGGTGTGAGACACTGTGAACTTTTTAGCCGTTTACGGCATGCGAAGAGTAACTACCATTATACAGGAACGGAAGGGAGCAACTTATCAACTGTTCACTCCTTATACATGCAACTAATTAACTATTCACTACACTGGTTAGAATGTGTAAGTGCAAGACGTGTACATCTCGATAACTATATGATGGGGCAGTGTATTTTATTAAATGTTATTTTCATTATTAGGAGAAAAAGTGCATATGCAGTGTAGCTGAATTCATCTAATTAATTATTTTCAGTATGGGGACAGCGTCTTATCATTCACATATGTGGAAAAGGGAGAGGTTTCATTGAACTACTTTTCCCAGAGTAAAAATTTCCACTATACACGGCTCAAATTACTGTAATCTTGATTCACAAAAGATAATCAATGTATTTAATTAATTTTCTGTAAGATATTAACATTTGTTTCCTCTTTTCCCTGCTAAAGCAGATTAAATAAAAGTAGAAATGCTGGGAATGCTTAACAGGTCAGGCGATATTTGTAAGGAGAGAAGCTGAGTTAATGTTTTAGGTTGATGATCTTTCGTCAGTTCTGAACTAGCAACAAATATTACACGGAAAAATAGAAACAGAAGTAGACAAATCAGTTCCTTCAGCCAATTTTAACACTCAATTAGATCTATATAACATTGACGCCTGTCTCAAATTCCATTTAACTCATCTTTTCTGCAGCTACCTCCATACATGACCTTACAAGAAAAATGAGCTGTCTTGAAAATTTATTTTGACTCAACATCCATGGCCATTTGCAAGAGGAAGTTTCAGAATTTCACTATCCTTCGTGTGAAAACCATGATTTCTGATTTTACTCCTAAATATCTATATTTCTAACTTGAAAATAATGCCTTCTTGTCTAGATTCTTCAACAGGTGGAAATATATTTTCTGCAGCTACAGATGTCAAATCTCTATATCCATTTAAGGACCTCGATTGGATATTCTCTCCTCTACCTAACCGCCTTTTTAAACCTAAGAAATACAACCCAAGTTTATGACCAAGGCTGAACAGAAGACTCCAACTGGGTTTTGATCAAGGGTTTGGACAACTGAAGGTTTATTTCTTCATTTTGAATTCTAAATTATAGTGGTTTTCTGTCTCATATCATCATGGTTTACACTGTGCTGGTCAATCCTGTGTCGCACATCACCTCGCGTGGCTCAGGGGCCCCACTTTGGCAATGGCAGTCTTTGCAGCCGAGGAAGACAGTGATCTGAAGAAAATGCATCATTCACTGGCTTGTTTCCTAATGGCCCTCTTCTCAACCAGGCCAGCTTTTCATATCTGCTTGCCTCTTCCAGTGCCCTTCCAAACTGTCACCCCCCAGACGTCACAGCCTGCAGCGACTGTCAATACCGATATTGTCAGTATCAATGTCTACAGCATTCATGTCTTGCTTGTAGATGCCCTTGTGATGGAAGGACGGATGCCCAAGGAATTGTGACCTTCTGGCCAGTTCACCATACAGAAAGAGTTCTGCTGCCACCCATCCAATGTGGGCAAGGTAGTACTGAGGTTGTTTAGTAATATATGTGTATTGACCAAAGCTGCACCTTCAGGACTTCCCGGTTGGTAACCGTAGCCTATAATTCAAATCTGCTTCAGGTAAAGAACAATATTCCGTCAGTCTCTTTTAATCACCTTTGCCCCCTTCCCCAGCCCATCTTTTAATGATTTATGAAAGGGATACAAATCACATTAAGTACCCACATAGCTCGTAGATGTCTCTTCTGAAACAAAAACAGAAATTGCTGGGCAAACCATCCTGCGGTTTCGTTTTCTCTGATGCAAAGTAGATGACCACTTCCGGTAACATTATACTCCAACTGCATTATTAGATATACATGCATGCGAGTATCAAGATGTTGTTAATATGTTTGTATATGCTCATGTTTGCAAGATGCTTTCGTACCTTTGTAGAACTTCAATGCATGTAATGAACAATGTTCAATTGCCTGCTTCAAGACGTGCTGATGGAAAATCTAACCTTACCGATAATTAAGGAGCTCATACCTATAATTAACCTACTAACTCAATGTTGTTCGGTGGACTGTCCTTGCCGAGTACGTCAAATGAGTGTGTGCCCTTCTCTGTGACCTCATCATACCTCACTCCATATTACTTCAGTATTAACTTCCGACTTGCCAACATCCACGTTTATCAATCTAAATAGTAAGAAATTTACAATACTCTTTAAAATACTGAAGCCATGAAACAACCTACTAGCCTAGAGTAGGAGAATATGGAGATTCTGTGAGGCACTTTGAAAATCACTAAAACTGGGAGAGGTATTTTATATCGGTACCTTTTCGGGCCTGGCGTTGCTCTTCTTTGGATTTATTGCAGTGATATACTGAATGAAGTAATGCAAGTTATGTGTCGTTTATACAGTCACCAGTAGCCAGTAATGAAAGTTTCAAATGTTATCCAAATAATTTGCTCCAATTTCATTATGCAATGAGAACCTAGTAACCGTTGTTTAGTTTTTTTTTGTTTTTTGCAGATGGAAAATCATGCAAAACTTGTTAACGAACTGCCTCTTCTTTCAACGTACATTAAATCAAACTGTTCTCCTTACTTGTTCTCAGTGGTTTCTCTCAACTGCTTTCATGTTTCGGGAGGATCTCATTTTTGTATTTTCTTTGCATGTCCTCATTCAATCTCTTTCTCGATTACCCCTTTTGACTCTAATTTTTGGTACCTTCAGTTTATCATCTAACGTTCATAGGACACCAGACTTCTCCATGTTTGTCCATTGATGGAGTCTTCCAAGATCTTCCCTTTGATAACACGTGTTTTAAAAGAGAAAAAAAAATCCTTGCATGCAGTTTCCTTGCTCGAGCCCTTTTGCCTCAGCATCTCGTCATTTACTGGTTCTACCCATTCAGGAATAGTTTTGGACACATTTCCTTGAAAAGCGACCCGAGGTGCTGAATGAGTCAGATCAACATCACTGAACTGAGAATCCTTTTCTCTATATCTTTCTACAGTTTCAAAATAAAAACTCGAAAATGTATTTAGACCTTCTCGGATACAGATGGTGTGCAGAGGTATGGAAAAAGGCAGGAGATTGGCAGTAGGTAATAGAACCAGAGTGGGCCGAATGGCCTCCTTCTGCGCTGTAATCATTCTAATCCTTATGATTTGTTTTCTTTTAAATGTTCTCATTACTTTATTTTAAATAAAAAATATTTTGGACATTCATCAGCACATCATCAATCAAGAGAGAGTTTCAAACATACTTTTAACTCCAAACGAACGGACCAAAACAGGGCTAACGTACTTTTTGGCAATACATGAACCATGATGTTTCCAAGCCAGTGTGGATTTAGTAGGTTCGAAATGAATGTAAATACACCTTATTCACCAGTGCTCTCAAGCAGCGAATTACCTGTGACATTTCCAGGAATAGGGATTAGATCTATGATTTTTTTGGAGCTATATTCAAGCACACAGGCTGCACAGACACGCGAAGAGAAGATGCCTGCTGGGGACATAACTACAGCACGAATCTGAAGGAGAGAGGATAATGATCAGGGAAGCATTGTCCGGATTATGTGATAAGTGACAAAACAACAGAAAATGCCTGCGAAGTATTTCCAACAATGTCTATTTTTATTTCCGATTTCCAACACCTGCAGCATTTTGATTTTGTACATGCGTTGACTGGTATTATTTTATGGTCTTTTTTAAAAAATAACTTGCCTTTCTCAAGGTGAAGCTTAGAAGTCTCTCCCCAACGGTGACACCACGAACGTATCGAATCTCCTTATATCGAATGATTAAAAATAGTTCCAGTCGCATCACAACTCTGGATTGCAAACCTACAGATCACCAGGGATATCTTCCTCACCCCGACACAGGATCGATCGGATTGGATTAGAATTCATGTGTTTACTGGGAAACGAACTCACTGATCCAAAACCAAAGACAGTGTGGAGAAAACATATGAAACTTGTTTTGTGTGCTCATATAATTCATCAAGCTGTAAAGCGTGGATCCATCAATAAGTTAGTAGCTATTTTTCACAACGAAAGGTTGGAGCCCACCTTCAATGTTCAGTGTTACTGTCCCTGGGGTGTAAACATTATATTGAACCCCAAACAAGTAAAGAAGTCTCTCCAACAGGTACGAAACTAGAGTCAAAATCAAGAAGAAAAATGTTTGTTTCCTGTATTCAAAATATATTATAATTTAGTATCCATCACGACAACATTTTTGTAAGCGGAAAGCTGCGCTGTAAATTATATATTTTGCTACTGATCTTACTGAAGTGCAATATTCAATGCCAATTTAACGGTAAGGAGACGGACTATTGTATCAACAGACTTTGCACTTTCTCCCAGGTCTCTGGCAATGCAGAACTTATCAGCATTTCAAAATAATTTGAGAACATAGCACGGCGATCTTAAGTACCCGAGATGGTTTTGGTGACATTTGTAAATTATGCATGAGAAATCATACCGAGCCTTGACTAACGAAATTGCTTAGAGTTTTACTTGTTTAATAAATTACAATGTTTACTGTTGGGAA